GCACGATCAGATGCCGGGGAGGAAGAGACGATTGGGAGGGGGAGGCTGCCGAACTGCACATGCTCGAGCATGCGCAGTACGGCCGGGGGCCAGGGATGCGCCGGCGGAAAGACGCGCCGGCAATCCCACGGCCGGCAGTGATGCGGCCTTTCGGAAAGAACCACCTAGGTAGGTGGTTCTTTTTTGCTGCAGGTTTTGCCCAGGAGGGGCGGATTGGGAACAGGCGCAGCACGATTCCCAGATGTTGCTGTGGGATCGCGCCCGTTTGCTGCGGCCCCGATCCGTCCCTCTCCCGGCCCAAAACGTCTCGTATGAACAGGGCCTGAGACACCTTTAGGTAGTGAAGGGCAGGGTATAAATCCAATCTCTTCTTCTTCTTCTTCATGTGGCCGGCATGACTAGACGCCGAGGCGCATGGAACACTGTTACCTTCCCACCAAAGCGGTACCTATTTATATACATGCAATTTCTTGCTTTTGAACTGCTAGGTTGGCAACAGGACAGGTACTCATCCTTTAATGTACTTGGGCTGCGATCACACAGACTAAACAATCCACTTCCAATCCACTTCCAGTGCACTTTTGAATTCTGCCCGTTCACACGGTAAAATTCAGTGGGAAAGTGCATTCAAAGTGGATTGTTTAGTGTGTGTGATTGCAGGCTTAGATCATTTTAAAACCTTGGTTTTAAAAAGCTCTAAAAGGGCTATATGCATTGGGAGAGGCTCTTATCTTGGGCACTCCTCATTTTGATAATCTCTTCCTTTTCTGATCAAAACTGATTCCATGCCTTGACCCGGATAGCTCAGGCAAGTCCCATCTCGTCAGATCTCAGAAGCTAAGCAGGGCCGACCCTGTCAAGTAATTGGAAGGGAGACCTCCAAGGAATACCAGGGCTGAAACACAGAGGCAGGCAATATCAAGCCACCTCTCTGAAATATCCAAACCCACTAGGGGCCACCTGAAGTCACCATGACTTTCAGGCATGCAAGCACACACATACACAAATAAATAAACACAGAGGGGGGGAAACTGGTCCCAGGAGCCAGTTTATGGCCAATAACAGCTATAGCATCAAAAAGCAATTAAATTACAAGCCTAATACACAAGAACTCCTGATGGTCATCCTGAAGTTGATGCTTATCTATTGTAGCCGTGGTGCATGGTACACCAGTGTGGTGTAGTGGTTAAAAGCAGCGGACTCTAATCTGGAGAACCGGGTTTGATTCCCCACTCCTCCACATGCAGTCAGCTGGGTGACCTTGGGTCAGTCCCAGTTCTCTCAGAGCTATTCTCTCAAGGGCAGTTCTTGAAAGAGTTCTCTCAGCCCCACCTACCTCACAGGGTGTCTGTTGTGGGGAGGGGAAGGGAAAGGAGATTGTAAGCCACTCTGAGACTTCGAGTGAAGGGCTGGATATAAATCCTTCTTCTTCTTCTTCTTCTTCTTCTTCTTCTTCTTCTTCTTCTTCTTCTTCTTCTTCTTCTTCTTCTTCTTCTTCTTCTTCTTCTTCTTCTTCTTCCTTGGGCTCTTCCCAAACAAAGCAACACTGCATAAAGATGGCATGTTATATTCTATATTGGAATCATTCTAACAGGTAACACTCACATATAGCCATATGCTGTGCTTTACAAGTAATATTGCAATCTCAGTTGTGCCTGCTTAAAGTTATATACAACAATAAAGTCAGTATCTTTCTACTAACATGAAAGATTCCCAAATATTTAAGTCAAAATGACTTCAACAGGGTATCACAATTTTTAACAACCATATTATATTTGAAAAACTTTCTTTTTTGTAGTCTTCTTTGTGAAGAGATCGTTAGGACAGTAAAGCACAACATATGGCTCTATGTGAGTGTTACCTGTTAGAAAGATTTCAGTATAGATTACAACAATCTTTTAAATGGGCATAGCTGAGAGGGTGATATTACGTGTAAAGCACAGCATCTGGTTATATGTGAGTGCCAGCTGTTAGAATGATTTCAATATAGAATACAACACATTGGTTTTGTGCAATGTTGCATTGTTTACTTCA